GTCATTTTGTTTACTGAACAAGCCTACCCTAAGTAGGGGAGCATTTGTGTTCCCGTGGGCGTAGGAGAACACAATGTGCACAGGGCTGGCTGTGTGTCTCAACAAGGGGTGCTTTCTGTTTGATATCCTGCACACTCACCTCTCTCTCCCTGGGGTGGGCAGGGGGTTAGGGGGCACTGGAACCATTGGCGTCTCCAGAAGCACGGCCAGTCTGCTGCTTAGGACTGAGGATGAAGCGGTCTGCTTTAGACCTGCAGGCCTGAGTTCCTCACCAACCAACCTCTTGTGGAAAACAGCTAGAAACTCTGGACAGGAGTTAAAGAACAATCGCCCGAGGCCTCTGATAAGTAAACCAAAGCAGGCCAACTTTAGAGGCAAGTCAAAACTCAAGAGGAAACAGCCGATGCAAGACGTTTACTGTTTATTACAGTCTTGCATGGGGTGGCCAAAACCCTGGTAGAAAGCCCACCCTCCCTCTGGTCAGCAAAGCCAGGGAAGAAGCCCAGGGCCACTAAGCTTTCTGGGTAGCGAGGGGGAAATGCTAGAAAGGAGAAAGTCACAGAGAGGAACCCCAAATTCTGTGTCTAAACCCTCTCCACCTCGCTGGCTGATGCCCGGGACCAAGTGAAAGCAGGCTGAACTAGTCTGAGCTGTACCCGATGAGGAGGCAGGGCGTGAAGTCTGAGCCTGGCCTTGTGAGTGACCTGCTACGACAAGTGGAGCACATTCTAATTCCAGCAACAGGTGCCAATTAGCTGCCTATTTAGTAAATCTAGATCCAGCCTGGACACAGGGTGTTCGGAACAATAATCAGATACTTATCATACCTTCAACTGGCATTGCTGCTCAGAACCACGGGTCTGAGATTTTTCATCTGCCCTGAAACCACTTATTCCTCCATTCCATCAAATCTAGGACTTTTCTCTCCCCTAATCTTCCTTCAAGGTTTCCCCTGAACCCCATGGTGTGTGGGACAGAGAGAGTCTACACTGGTTCATACCAAACAATGCACTCTAAGTTCCTATAGTGGTAAGGTCAACTGTACCCCCACTGGAAACAAGAGTGGGAAGCGTTCAGGGGAGGGTTGGCCCTGAGCTGAGACACTTGTCTTATGTCTTCTGCCAGAGCTGCTGGGGAGGCAGGGAGGACCACACTCTACCCCACCACCTCCAAGGGCCCATCTATGGTTGCCTGTGTTTAGATGGGGAGGAAGACGCAGGACCCCAGCCTTGAGGTCTCAGGAGCACAAGCCTTAGCTGCAAAATGACGTGTCCCCAGCTTCTGGCTTGTCTGGTGTCTGTGGCCACTTACCAGGGTCTCTGAGAACAGTGACAGCCCATGGCAGATACTCTCTGCACGCCCTTGGACATGTCCACTCTTCGAAGTTCTTGCAAAATCTTGTGTCACTGCCTGTGGCCTGAAGTGTCCTTTACTTTGCGACTATTCAGGAAATACAATAGTCCCTGGGTTCCTACAATGTACCTTTGTCTGATGGCAAGTGGTAAATCGAGGCCCAACCTACTCAAGCTCCCTAGGGAGCAAGGACACAATTTCCAATACTGGGTTCTTGCAGGCACAGCCCAAAAAAGCCATTATTTTCTTCACATCTTGGCCTGGGATCCAGGCTCTTGGATATATGTGAGCCCCTCACTCACCCTGACTCCACATTCAGGAGGCTAAAGTCCCCCCTCCAACACCTTGAGTTGTTCATAGGAGGGAGTGCCATGGACTATAGATGGAATGCCCAGAAAAGGCAGGGTGGGGTCACCTTTCTCTATGGAGGGGAGGGTGTCACCTACAAGACTGAGCCCACTGGCCATTCTCAAATGACAGGAGAAGTTGCAGAAATGGCATCCGACCTCCAGGGAACTTTCCCTGTATTCCCTTTATGCCCCAGGGTAATGGGCCAGAGTCAAATGAGAGAGGTGAGGTTTCAACTTCAGTGTCATCATCTTGAGAAATCAGTACAGCTCTGCTGGTTGTGGTCTTGCCCATGAACTACTGGACCAGGACACCAGGGAGGCCACCTGCTGCTGACAAACTGTGCAGTTTTGCAACCTATCTGCTGCTGACAAACCTCATTCTAAGGTGAGACATGGAATGGCCCACAGAGCCGGGTGGAGAGCTTCAGGGCCACACCTCTGTGTTCCCGGGGCCACTTGATGACCTGGCCAGACCCTCGTGGTCCTTGTGTAAAAGTGTGCTGGGTCCTCCCGGGTGCCAGCCCATTTCACGAGCACGGTACTTGTGCATGTGGGAAACACGGGCCCCAGGTAGGACTTGGCCCTGGGGGAGAGCTCATTAGACTCTAGTTGGGTTTCCCCTGGGCCAGGACCGTTAAGCTGAGGGTTTGCGTAGGCCAACCTCATCCTCTGCGCGGGACTTTCTCAGCCCCAGGCACCGGTGCCCTGGGAGTGCCCAAGGTCTCCCCAGCCACACCCACTTCTAGACAGAGCTCCTGTTGGTAAGGCGGCCTCCCTTCCCTTCACCTCCGGATGATGGTCAGCAGGTGTGGACTTCTCTGTCCAGGCCAGAAGCTTGTCTGTGTGTGTGCCAACTGCCAAATATTAAAATCATCTCAGAACCAAGTCCTTAAATTGGTTAACCTTCATGTAGAAAGAAAGAATGGCGCTCCTACGTCTAGTTTCGAGGGGTTAAATAGTTACAAGAAGGATTTTCGGTTTCAGTTTCTCTGAAGAGGCAACGGAAACCAGTTCTAAGGAGACTGCAATACTGAGCAGGATCACTAGAGGGGAGGGCAGGCCTTCAGAAAGTGGCCCAGACGGCTTTCTCAAGTTGCCCGGAGGTTCTCTCCATCACGTCACTCCCCACAACTTGCACCCCTTAACCTCTCCCCAGAGGCCTCTTCCCAGCCCCCTCTCCAAGGAGTCACTCTCTTCCCTCCCACTTCACCCCCAGCAATCCCTCTGGCTTTGTACAAACTTTGCCGTGACAGGAGTCTGCAGCTCGGCCACCACCTGGACAGTCGCTGAGATTCTGCTCCGCCCCCATCTCAGCCCCTCAACACTGAAATATTGCCACCAAATGCCCACAGGATCCGTACGGGACAACTGTATTATGACCATGCAATTGCAAGAGGGTAGGACTCCCAGCCTCTTTACCCATCTGGGGCACAGGTAGATGAGAACTCGTGGAAAGAGATATGCACCCAGATGCTGGACCCAATTCGGGGTGTTATTGGGCCCCTCCGAAGGGCATCCCTTTCCCTCACCCCAGTTCCAAACCAGCGGACAGATCAGTATAAAAGCGAAACAGATGGGATTCAAAATACCAGCTTTCTTCCTGATACAAGCTACATTGGGAGTCATGGCTTAGTATGTAGCAAAAAGAGATCCCTCAAACCGAACCCCCCAATTGAGCTTATCCACACAGCCTCAGGCTGCTCCAATCAATCATACACACCCCCAGCCTCCCATAGCCCCCTAAGCTCCTGTCCCTGCGTGCTTGACCTTGGAAAAGCCACAGAGCCCTGGCCTCCCCAGGTGCCATGAGCCCAGAAGACCCAACAAGGAGCAGGCTCACCCCTTCCACCAGAGAGTCTCCCCAGAAAGGAGGGAAGGGCAGGAGGTCCAGGTGAGTCCCACCGATGGACTTCCGGGGACATTGGGGCAGGGCCCAAGGGCTCCCACTCACGTCCAGGCGCCGGCTCCCCCTCCATTTCCACATCCACGGAGGTACCAAGGCTGTTACCCCTTGCCCCAGTGGCCACTGTCCCTGTTGCTGCACATCTTCCCGCCCTGGAGTTCCTCTATTGGTCTCTATTCCAGGTGCCCTAAGCACACCCACCGAAGAGCTGGCAGGTGTATGCCAACCCCCAGCACGGCGGTGGCCTTGGGTCAGCCCGCTGCCCAGGGACAGAGAAGGAGAGGGACAAGGGACACTAGGAAAGGCTGGTGTCATCTGTGTCCCGTGGAGGCCAGAAGTGGAGGATAGCTGTGCCCAGCAGTGGCTCAGCTTACTTGGCCTTCCACCCCTGCGAGGGAGGGAGGGAGAGAGAGAGGGGCAGAGAGACCCAGGCGAGTGCAGCGCCTCGTGTAGACACCTGGCCCATGGGTAGAGAAGTCCTTGTCAGCATCCTGGAATCCCCGCCAGACTGCCATTCGCTTCTTTGGGGGAAAGACAGAATATCCATGGAAACAGGGATGGAAACCTCCTTCCCCTGTAGTTTCAAATGTCATGAAGTTTTCTGGGTCACTTCTCAGGCTCAGATCCGAAGGAGAAATCTGTGGACAGACAGGACTCCGAGGCGGAGGGTCACGCTCCCCGCGGGGCTCACCTCCCCATGTGCGCCCAGGTCCTGTCGGTTCCAGCCTCCCTTTCCATCCAAGGGAAGCCTACGCTGCTCAGCCTTCCAGTGACTGCTTTTCGGGTGTCGCAGGGCTGCAGTGGGGAAGCAGCCCTGCAGTCAGGGCACCTGCAACCCAGGCACCCGAGATGTTAACCAGCGTCACTGCCTTGGCTGTGGCCTTGCAGATTTCTCTCTTACCTCTGGCGGATTCCCAGGAACACTAAGCCCATTTCCCCCGGTTTATGATGCTGAGCATTCGGGCTCTCTCCAGCCCTGTGTCCCCACGCTGGGACCTTGCTGGATCCAGGCTCTCCCACAGGAAGGAAGAAGATGGGAAGTTTCTGTCTTTCCCTCTTTCGCCGCCTCCCCCAGCCATGTCGGCTAGGGGAAGGGGCAAACACGGAGGTCCCCCCTGCCCACCCCATTACACTCAGAAACCCTCTTAGACCGAAGGGCAGGAAGCGCTTGAGGACACAAAGATGTTTCTGTGTCTTTGCGCCAACAAGTGAACCCCTGGGGCCTGGCCTGGCTCCTCCGGCCCTCATAGTCCCTCCTCGGCCTCCATTCCTGCTGTTACATGTCTTGGGGCCTGAGAACCCTCGTGGAGCTGCAGGAGAGAAACAATGCCCAACAATTCAGAGATACTTTCACTTCTCTTTTCCCCATTTGGGCGGAGCTCCGTGTGTGAGGCAATTCACAAACTTCCTGCTCTGGGCTCGGCAGCCACCCTGAACCAGGCCACCTCAACGGAGGGTTCGGAGGCCACATTTGAGGCCCAGGCAGGGCCCAGGGGGGGCCCAGGGGGGGCCCGGAGTGGGAAGATGGCCGATGGAAGCAGCGACCTCAGCACCAGGTCAGTCTTGATCTCCTTCCCTCTCACCCCTGTCTCTCTGTCTTTCTAAAGACTGAAGTTGAGACACTAAACTAAATTTCTACTTTAGACCCGGTTTGCAAGAATGCCGGCTTGCCATATACGAAAGGGCAGGGAGAGCTAATGAGGAAATCAGGTGTTCATCCAGCCTGCCACCACACACAGGACCTTCTTGTTTTGCAACCCTGCTCAGCTGGAGGCCTGTCTGAAGTCCCGGCCCTTTATGAGGCTTGCGACAGGGATTTGTTGTCTCCTTGTGACCTCTGAACCTTCTCCTTTCCCTCCCGCCTCCTCTCCCTTCATGAGTCAGTGCAAAGAAAAATATACAATTCAGGGTCAACACCTGACTTAGGCTCAAACACGAGGTGCCGTGGTCTCACATCTGTCCTGTGAACAGGCCTCCATCAGGCCCTGCTCCTCTCTGGCTGGGGGGCCAGGTTCTTCCTCGTCATCTTGACTGAGGAAGTAAAAGGAAGAGAACCAAAGAGTAGTGCAGGCTCAGGGGTTTTATCTTGACTATAATTTTCTGTTCTGGAATGGGTTATGTCTCTGACCCCTCAAAAAAGGGGGGGGTGGAAATCCTATCTTTTTCTCTACTAATAGGTCAGAAATAATATTACTTAATATTTTAATCAATTTATTGTTTAATACAAAAGAAATGCATTATACATTCTTGTTCATAAATTTTTAAACAAAATGGAAGTATGTCAAGGGAAAGAGCCCTGTTTATCACCTATCCCACAGCAGCTTCCAGTCAGGGTCCTATTAAGAATTTCCAGCTTAGCCTTTCAGATCTTATTCTATGCATTTCTATGTATGGGTTCGTTACCTAAACATGCACTTTGTGCCTTGTTTTTTTAATAAATGGGATTATATTGTACATGCTGTTCTGCATTTTTCATTTTCTCTTATTTTGATAGTGAAAATCCTAGAGATCACCTTAATATAGATCTACTTCATTCTTTTTAAGAGCTACATGCTATTCCATAGAATCGATATACCGTAATTTTTAAACCATCCCTCCAGCCCCCATTGATGGACATTTAGGTTATATTCAGTTGTTCGCTTTACCAACAAGCTATGATAAGAATCATCTATTTCCTTATACTTTTGCACATTTAAAAGTATTTGTCTCATGTCAACAACCAAAAAAGTGGAATCATGGAGGCAGCGGTTACTAATATTTACTTGTTTATACATCCTGCCAGCTTGTCAAAGTAGCTGAACCAATATATTCTCTTAACAATATCAAATGAGATAAACCATCTCCCCACACCCAAACTTTGCAAAGGTGGTGGATAAAGAGTTGCATCTTGTTTTAATGTGCATTTTCCTGATTCCATGGGAGGTTGGACAGTATTTATTGGCCATTTGCCTCTTCTATGAATTGCTGGTTTATTTATTGCCAGTGTTACTCAGTTGACATGATTGTCGTTTCTTTAATGAGAGGGGAGAATTTGCTAAATATTCTGAAAGTTATACTCTCCTTGTCTCTGAAATTTGTTTATGGTGACTTGATCTTATTAAGGCTTAAAATTTACAGTGTAGGCTTATTATAGTATTGATTTTATAAGCTAGATGCACCCTCTGTTGTTATAAATAATTAATGTGACGTGGAAAATTTACTGGTGAATTCCATACACGATGTTCAGCCACAGCTCTTGAGCTCTTAAGATGGCAGATTCAAGTCTACCTTCACAGCAAGCCAATTTCCTTCTCTTACATCTCAAAAAATGTTTTCTCTCTCAATTGTGGGGCAAAGTTGTGCTTCCTTTGAAGCAACGTTAGCCTTCACAGCTTTTATCTGCTCCCTGAATATTCCTCTCTTTTGCTTTTTTACTTTCTGCTCAGAATGATTGTCTCATACTTTTCTTCCATGACAATTATTTAATTTTTAGTAATTCTTGCATTTCTTGTTATTTCTATTTTTTTAAGTTGATTGTGTTTATTTGGGGGGATCTTAATTTGTTTCTACAGCTCCACTGTAAGCCACATTGTTTGTGTGTGTGTGTGTGTGTTTACCATCCCATCTTCAGGCTCTTGCTGTATTTATTGAGGTTTTTGTGTGATTGTACGTGCTTTGGGGAGGTTTTCTGCATCCTCCGGGTTATTCTTCCAGGTTGATTCTGTCTGCAGTTTGGTTTCTGTGCTGCTTTACTGGCTTTTTCACGTGCCCATGGTGGTTTTATATTCCGTTTCACTCGTGATGGACCCCCAACCTCCACTCTACACAGGCTTACTCTGGGCGAATGATTTCTTTCCCCGAAATGTCCAGTCTTATTGGAGACTGAATTTCTTCCCATCTGATCTACAGTTTGAGGGCTCTAGGTTTATTCTTACCCATTTTTCCTGAGGAAACTTTAATTAGTTAAACCATCCCTTTCCCCCTGATCTGTGCTAACCCAGTGGTCATGTATGCAGGACCTGTTTCTCGAGCTCTCTCCTCCACTGTTGGCTGTGCGAGCCCCTCCTTAAGCCCCGCACATCATGCTGTGACAGGGACCACGGCTTCAGATGAACTTTTGATATCTGTTGAAGTAAATCTTTTCTTCTCTCCTCCCAAAGTGGCTTGGCCCTTTGCATCTCCAAACTGGCTTGTCAACATCCTGCCACGAATTTGTTTAGGATGGCATTGAATCTATAAATCAATTTGAAGAGAATTGATATCTTTATAACATTGTGTCTTCTATCTCATTACTATGGTATATTAATAATTAAAAAATATTTTCTAGTAAAATTTATATTTCTCTACCTAGAGGTCTTACACTTCTTCTGCTAGATTTATTCATAGATACTTGATATCTTTATGCTATCAAATCTACATAATTTAAAATCGATTTTCTAGCTGCTTGTTACTAAGATAAAAAATAAAGGGAAACGTTGCCAAACTCTTGAATTCTAAGGACTTCTATGGAGATATATATGTATATATGTGGATTTACATGGATACATAATGTCAGTTTTATTTCTTCTGATCTAATCCTTCTACTTATTATTCCTTTTTCTTGCCTTACTGCGTGGGCAAGGACTTTGCATATGGTGAACATGAGTACTGATAGTAATGATTCTGTCTTGATCCTAACCCCAAAGGGAAAGTTTTTATCACTGCACAATTATGGGTGATGTTTGCCCTAGATTTCTTTTATGAAAAGGCTTTATAAAAGACTTAACAGATTAAAGAAGTTTTATATTGGCATCTGATACTTTCAACATGGGAGGTGTTTGTGGCCCTGTTTTCTGTTATTTCTGCCTGTTCTCACTCACACATTTTTTAAACAAACTTTTAATTTTGGAATAATTTTATATTTACAAAGAAATTGCAGAGACAGTACAGATTCATTTCCTGTGACATTATCCCTCTGACATGACTGTGGTACATTCTTCAAAACTGAAAAACCAATATTGGTAACATCACTGTGCATTAAACCCTGGACTTTTTTTTCAATTTCATCAGTTTTTCCATTAATACACATTTTCCATTAATACACATTAATATACTGTTCCACAATCCAATCCAGGACTCCACTTTGCATCTAGCCATCCTGTCACTTATTCACTTCTGATGTGTGACAGTTTCTCAGTCTCTCCTTGTCTTTCATGACCTTGACAGTTTGAAAAGTAGTGGTCAGGCATTTTGTAGACTGCTTTTTAACTTGCATTCATCTTGATGGTTTTCTCATGATTAGCCTGGGCTTACAGGTTTTACGAGAGCGTACCAAGGAGGTGAAGTGCACAGAGGGTGTATCTAGCTTTTTAATTTAACAATAAAAAATATTGTTAAGCCAATCTCCTCCTCACATCACATCAGGGGATATATGCCAACCTGACTTATCACCAGGGAAGTTGACCTTGATCATTTCATGAAGGTGGTGTTTGCCAGGCTCCTCCACTATAAATTTACCATTTTCCCCTTTCCAAAAAGAAAAGGGAAACATTCTCTTCTGTTCACAAAGATTGTTTTGCTTGGTATCTTTGTGTACTAGCATTGTATTGGGAAAATTACTTTTAGGTAAAATCGAGGACTGCAATGAAGGTACGACTCTGGAAAGAGTTTTGGTTTGCTGCATCCAGGTACCTCCGGGAACGCTTTAACACAAGTCAGGGTCTGAGAGTACCTCGGGGGAAGCCAGGTGGTTCCAAGACCAGAGCTGCCCCCTCCACTCCATTCTCACTGGGAAGATGTCTGGGGGTGGCTGGGACTCCGGCTGGACCCTCCACCTCGTGTGGACTCCAGACTTCATTTCTGTCCCCCTCACCCTTTAAAGTTGTCAAACCCGATGTTCTGATTCCCTAGGATCAACAAATGCCTCAAGTCAAAAGTGGTTCTGTGTTTGCTTGTCTCTCTGGTTTCTCCTTTCACCTTTACCTTTGCCTGGTTTCATCTCTTCAGTAACATTTTTAAATGCTTTTTAAAGCTGTCTTGCTTATGAGAGTTGGGAGAGATTGGGGTTTTTGAATCCTGCCCCACCACACCAGGAATTTATAGTCATGGATTGACTAGTTGATTAGCTGTCAGTTTTCAAAGTTTATTGCTTGAGGTTTGGTCGTGGTTCATGAATTTTTTTCTCTGAATGCTTTTAAGATTTTTCTCTTAGCATTTATACTGTAATAAGTCTAGATTTGTTTGTTTCTTAAAATTTTTAAATTTTTTGTTTTTGTTTTGTGTTTATCCTTTTGGGGTTTCTAGACTCTTGAATTTGCGAGTTGATGTCTTTTGTTTTTTTGTTTATTGGGTTCTGTTTTTTTGGTTTTTGTTTTAATTGAAGTATAGTTGGTATATAATATTATATTAGTTTCAGGTGTACAACATAGTGATTTGACATGTATATATGTTATGAAACGATCACCACAGTAAGTTTAGTTACCATCTGTCACCATACAAAATTCTTAAAATAGGGCGCCTGGGTGGCTCAGTCGTTAAGTGTCTGCCTTCGGCTCAGGTCATGATCCCAGGGTCCTGGGATCGAGTCCCACATCAGGTT